TATTGACGCTTGTACATTTATATGTTACTAATAATCTCTCTTTAACTATCAATACTCAATATTTAACGATGTTTATATAATTATATGCATTGTTATGTTCTAGTTGAATTTTTTTTACGAGACCATTTTATTTCCTTTAATCCACTCCCCGTCCCTTTTTTCACGTGCACAATGTGAGCTTTGACGTGTAGATGAATTTTCTCAAGAATAAATTATTCCCAGAGTCTGTTTCAATAAGAAAAATAAAATGACAAAAGTGACGTTGTAGTGTAAGCGGTAAAGATTTATTACATAAAGCTTATCAAATTACTAAAGCATATACTTAACCTGTTAAAAAATAAAAGGGAAGTCCCGATCAAATCAAATTTATTTGGTGTATAAAGGATCGATGTTTGTGAAAACTGGGGTAGATTATACATACCTCTACCTATTTTTCTCAAATTAATAAATACCAAGTTTCCAATCTTTAATTTCAAATAAATGCAGCTTTTAAAAACACTGTTGATCCTCCTATAAAAAAAAAAGAGAAAAAATTCAAATAAACCACAAGCAGTTGCAGAAGCTGGTATGCAAATTGTTAGTTGTTACTCTCTCCATTTTGAAATATAAGGCGTATAAAGATTTCTCTCAATTTTGAAATATAAGGCGTATAAAGATTTCTCAATTTTTTTGAAATATAAGGCGCGCTCAAAAATCAAGACAAATTTTTGTATTTTTTTCTAAATATACTCTCATTGTGTTGAAATTAAGGTAGTGTGAAATTGTTGTGATTAGAGTAAATAAGGTTAATTTAGTCAATTTATTCATTAATTAATGTCTCCTTAATATTTGTGCAATAACCTTAAAACTTCAAAATGGAGGGAGTACTTTCTAACTATTTCTAGTAGTACTAAAAGCTTTTAAGTGATATGATGCATTCACAGTTCAAACTATATAGAAATTTAGCTTGTGAAATTAATTAAATTCATCAATACAGATAAAGTCTCTTTTTCCATTTATTTTTCTTTTTCTTTAGCATCTAGCAATAGTTAACTAATTAATCAACAATCACAATAAATGAACACAAATTCACACCCACACACGCAAAAAAAACATTTTTACTTCCGACTACAACTATACATTATTGAAAAGCTTCCTCTTCCTGACAGGTAAATACGATTATTCAGTATTCGAATTTTTATTTAAAAAAAACAAAAAAAATAAAAATAAAAGACGAACAAGAAAAAAAACAAAAGCATACTCAAGCTTCAGATCATCAGGAGCCCCCTACAGAAACCCCTCAAAAACCCGGGTTTTGAAACCCCCGAGAAGGTTCAAAACAGAAGAAAAAAAAAAGTGAAAATGTCAAAAACAGCACAAGTCATCATCGTCGTATCCACGCGCCGCCTCAAGGGGTCGCCTGAAACCACTCGAGGAGGCTATCACCTTCCACGCGCCTCCGCTTCTTCTCCACGCACTCGTCGGGCTCGACCGGCGCGCGGCAGAGGGGGCAGATGAGGTTGAGCTGGTCGAGCCACGAGTCGAGGCACGCCCGGTGGAACACGTGTCGGCAGGCTAACGTGCGCACCTCGTCGCCTTCCCGGAGCCGGTCCAGGCACACCACGCAGTCCCGGTCCTCGCCGGATTCGGGCCGGTACCGGTGGGATCCGGCCCGGTTCTGTGTCAGCCTCTTGCAGAGCCCCGCGATTCGGGCCAGGCCCGACCTGACGGCATCGCAGGGGGAGGCCCGGGTGCGGCGGCGGTCGGGGTCGATGGCGTGGCGGAAGGCGCGCAGGTTATCCAGGACAAGGGAGCGGAGATAAATTGCGCACCTGGCGATGAGCACCAACACAATAACGAGGATTGATTCGGAGGCCACGTCAGAGAAGTGGTTGTGCAGACCCATTTTTGTTACTTACTTTTTTCTTTTACTTCGCCTAAAAGAAACTCAAATGTATTTAATTTCATGCAACAAAACAAGTAAAGTGTGTTTGTTCCGATATATATAGGGAAACTCTACCGTCCATAATTTTTAATAATAAAACAAATAATGGTTTATAGCCGAACTCAACCATTTTATTGAAAGATTATCTTATGATATTCTTATACGGTAAATATGTAATTGTATCTTGTTCATATGATATAAATTAAATTGTATCAATTAAATGATATGGTAAATATCGTAGATTAGATCCTTGATTTCTTTCATTTATTTATACAACAATTCAAGCTTAACAATATTCTCTCCACTTTTACATGGTACAGAGCAGATTTTTTTTTAAACTCTAACCTAAGCTGCTGTCCTCTTCTCTCTTTTGTCTGCTATGACTAACTCCTTGGATGCTAACTCTGTATACTATATACATCCCTCTGAACACCCCGGTCTTGTTTTTGTCATCCATCCTTTGTCAGACAATGGTGACAATTACTTTACCTGGAAACAGCGGCGGATCCAGAAATTTTAATGAGTCAGTGCAAAATTGTAGAAATTTTTAGCACAAAGTATTTATATTAAGAATTTAGTAAATCGTTTGACCAATCGGGAGTTGAAGGCTTTCCTATTCAATTTTCATTTGACTTGATGCTAAAAAATAAAATTGAGAATGAGGTCTGATTGTTTTATTTTACGTTTTTATTATTATTAAGAAACTAGCAAAAATATTTTACAATTTTTTTTTTCATATTTTATTTTTGTAATAAGTTATAAACAAGTCATTTGAGATATAATTTATTAATTTCAAAAAGGCCTAAATGTCATCATGTTTGTTCCTGTTATTTTATAAAGAGTTCCTTATGGCTTAGCTTCTTATATATAAATTGATTGGTCGAAAAAAGTGTGTATTCTATATATATATTAACGTATTTTTATATGCTTAATTTTATTGCACTTACATATTTTTCGACTTAATTATTTATTAGATGGATTTAAGTGCTACGATATATTTATGGTTTATTTTCAGGATATTAGAATATTTTAATAGGCGGCGCAACACCGAACGAAATTGAGTAGGCCAGTACGGGGTGCCCCATATCAGCCCGATTTTCAGCCCAATTGTGGAAGATGTTAAATCAAAGGCCATCATGCATATGGGCTGGTCTAAAGCCCATTAGTTTGAGGTTGAAAATTAAAAGGAAGAGGTCTTTAAATGACCCTGGTGTACTTACGTGAATAGAGGAGGTGAGATATTAAGTGGGGACCAAAAGTTTACATGGATTAGCCCACTTAATGACTTATTTCAACAGCATATAGGATTTTTTTGCGGGACATCATATACGCAGCCACCATTGGGGATTTACTTTTAGAAAAACACGGCACAACGAGAGAAAAGGAGAGTCGTCGCATAAAAGAGAAGGAAAAGCAAACGCACGCACTTGGAGACGGGGAAGCCGACGAAAGCGGAGGGAGGTCGCACCTGTACACGAGGGAAATAATTAATCTCTCTCTTTTATCTCTTATTTATTTTTATTTATTATGTTAGAGTAGATTTTGTTCTAGTTCCGGGAAAGTCGAACCCTACGATTGACAATGTTTGATTAATTTATATGGTTGATGATTTCAATATCTTTTTAGAATTGTTTGTGTTATTTTAAATAATTAACCATGATGTGTTGAGTCATATTTAAATTGATCACCTAGATTAGGCTTTTCATATCTACAGCTGAATTAGACCTTCAATCCGTAATTGTTGTTATGTTTAATTCATAAGAGGCTACCGGAAGACGGTAACTACCGGGGATAACACGGTCTATTTAAGTGAACGAATGTGGTTGAGTTTACTACCTAGTCTAGCCTATTTTTCTAATTCGTAAAGTGGCTAATTATATTAAATCTTAAAAACGTTTTTCTGGATTGTACAAAAAGTCAGGTTTAATCGTAGAGCGTCTCGCGGTTAAATTAAAAATAAGAAAAAATTCGGGTAACAGACCATGTCGTTTCCTAGGGCTAGTAATTTCATAGGATAGCGAGATTTGATTCCAAAGTTTATTTGACGAGTCAGTCGAGGGTGTAGACGGAACCGTGAACTAGAAAGTTCTCTTCATTTATTATTTTTATTTTTATTTTCATTGTTTAGATTTTATTTGCTTCATTAGGATTTTAGTTAGTTTAATTATTATATCAAAATTCCCCCTCTTTTATTGCTTTTATAATTCAATTAATACGAGAAAATTCACGATTTGATTCACACTCCCTGTGGGATCGACACTTGCTCACTACTACTAGTTGGTAGAAGTCGATTAAGGAAAATATAAATTATAATTTTGCCGCGTTGCGACGCGCGGTCATAAATTTAGAGTTTTTCACTGTCAACTTCCTCCGCTTTGTAATTCTATATGTTAATTTCTTAGGATTCGAAATAATTTATACAAATATTAATCTTTATCCAGAACTTTCAATTTTAAACACTTGACTAACTTAAATGGTAAATATATTTTAAAAGTTAATAACACTCGTATATGTTATCATTATTTATATATGGAAATTAAATTAATTATATTTTGACAATCTATAAATTGACATTAATATTGTATATATAAGTTAAAATAATTATATTTATCTAATCTCTATCAATAAAAAATTAATATTTATCAATTATAATTGAAAAACAATAAATTTATCTATCAAGTATTGTAATATAATACCGTAAAATCTGACACATATAATAATGTTATTTGGTAAGGATTGTTTAAAATTTTAAAATATAAACTTGTATTTATATCTTTATAGATATTAAATATAAAGTTTTAATTAACACATATTAACTATATGAATTGTATAGTTAGCACAAAAAATTCAGTCTAGGCAATTGCCTAGGCTGGACCATATGTAGATCCGCCCTTGCCTGAAGACATCTTTCCTCAATGCTCTTCATTCCAAGAACAAGTCAGGCTTTGGCTCCATCTCTACCCTCGATGCGGATTCTCCCGACTACAACAATTGGTGCGCTACAATGCCCTGGTCAAATTCTGGATCATCAACTCCATTCATCAAAACCTTCAACCTATGGCGACTCACATCGAATCTGCCGTTGATGTTTGGAATGACTTTGCTGATCGCTTTACTCAAGGTATCACCCCTCGTATTTATGAATTAAAGCACATCATTGCTCTTCTCCAACAAGAAAAGACTTCCACCTCTGTTTATTACGGTAAACTTAAGAATGTTTGGAGTGAATTGCAAAGTCCGCCCATCTCATGTTTCCCCTTGTGGTGCTTATTCTTGTGGTGCTGCTCATAAATTACGGGCTCTTCAAGAAGAAAAAAATATACTTGATTTCCACATGGGTCTCGATGACTTGTACAAAATTATCCGCTCTCAGATTCTCACCATCGAACCCATGCCCTCTCTTAGTCGCGTCTATGCGTTGTCGCTTGCGAAAAGAAACAACGCTCTCTTGCTGATAATCGCCATCCTGTTGTTGAGGCCTCCAGTCTTCTAGCCAAAGTCCCTTAACCCGGCCACGGGGCTACTCGTCGAGATGGTCGTCACACTGACCCTAACAAACTTCATTGCAATCATTGTCAGCGCTCTAATCGTCTCGTTGAAAATTTTTGGGCGTTACATGGTTACCCCGCCGAATGGAAGCCTCGCCAGAATGCCACCACCCGTGCTGCTCTCACCACTCCTGCCGAATAAAACGTAGCTGACTCCGGCACTGCATCTCTCTCCGCGACAACGACGGCCATCTCCCTGAGCCCTGCCCAACTGCAACAACTCTTTGTCATGCTTGGCACCCAGCCGCCTGCTGGTTCTTCAGCTGCCTCCACTGCACCTCCACCGCCGACCTCCTCTACTGATGGTAAGATACCTTGGGCAGCCTATTCTGGCGCTACTGGCACAGTACTCATATGATGCACTCCATAATTAATCCTCACAGACCCTCTCATCCAATTCACATTCAAATCCCTAATGGAGTTCATATTCCTATCCAAGCTACTGGGAGAATCAAGTTTGGCCCTGACTTGTATCTTGAGAATGTTTTGAGAGTTCCACAATTTAAATTTAATCTTATCTCTGTCAGCAAATTGACTCGGGATTTGAACTGTTTCATCACTTTTAGGCCTGATTTTTGCTTCATACAGGACTTACGTTTGAGGAAGCTGATTGGAGTGGGTAGAGTACGAGATGGATTATATTATTTGGAAGGTGTGGGAACTAACGATAGGTGGGATGGTTTTGTTGGCACGCAAAGACAACAAAATTGGTTTATGGCACCATCGATCGGTCACATGCCCATTGGTCGTCTACCTTTAGTGATGCATGTTCTAAGGCCAAACACTCACGATTGCCTTTTCCTAGTAATGTCAATAAATCATTGCACACTTTTGATCTCCTCCATTGTGACATTTGGGGTCCCTACCACACCCCCTCTCATTCTGGTGCTCGTTATATTTTTTTTCTTTGGTGGATGATTATAATAAAGCAACTTGGGTCTTTCTTAGCAGTGTCAAACGGGCCGAGCCGGTCCGGCCCGCTCCGGCCCGTGGTTCAAATGGGGTGGGCCAAAATGGCCCGCATTTCTACGGGCTTGGAAATCCATGGCCCGTGGCCCGCCCTCATTAGCCTGCGGGCCAAATCGGCCCGCCCGCGGGTTTTTTGGTATTATGTACTCTTATATACTTTTTGATTTGGTTATCTTTATATTTACTAGTATATTAATAAACTAGCAAGGCTTCATGTGTAATGATGTTAAATATTTGTCATCCAGATTTTATTTTTATTTTTTTTATGAATAATTATAGAGTACTCACGCGGAGGAGAGACTTAATTCACATAAAATATTATTTGATTCATTAATATTTTTACTATGTAAAAAAGTGTTTCATGTCCATTCACAAATCTTGATATCATTGTCAAATTTTAAAAAATATAAAATAAATAAATATGGAAGAAGAAGAAGAAGAAGAAGAAAAAAAAAAGAAAGACGATAAAGACAAAATCCAACAAAATAAATAAGTCCATCAATAGAACTAAAATAAGAAATACTAAATTTAAATAATATAAAATTAACAAATAAATAAATAAGAAAAAAACGGGCTTGACCGCGGGCCAGCCCGCCCCGGCCCGCTTTAGACTGCGGGCCGAACGGGGCTGGCCAAGCAAAGGCCCAAGCCCGTCCATTTAGGCGGACGGACGGGCCAGCCCGCGGGCCATGGCCCATTTTGACAGTGCTAGTCTTTCTTATGAAATTTAAATCTGAGACCAAATGCAATTTGATATTATTCCTTAATTGGGTTCACACTCAGTTTGGCACTACTGTTAAGACCATTCGCTCAGATAATGGTCTAGAATTTTCTCATGATGACTTGTTGCAATATTATTTTCAAAATGGGATTGATCGTCAAACTAATTGTCCACACACACCACAATAAAATAAGGTGGCAGAGCGCAAACAAAGACATATTCTTGATGTTGCTAGAGCTCTTCGATTCCATGCTAGTCTACCACTTATGTTTTGGGGGGAATGCATCTTAACTGCTGCCTACTTGATCAATAGTATGCCATTATAAGTTTTGCATGATAAAGCTCCTTATGAACTTCTTTTTGGGCATGTTCCTTCTTATGATCATTTACGTAGCTTTGATTGTCTCTGTTATGCTAATGTCACTAGTAGACCCAGAGATAAGTTCCATTCTCATGGTAAACCTGGTATATTTGTTGGTTATCCACATAGTCAAAAGGGCTACCGAATTTATGACCTAGACAGTCACCTCATTTCATGAGGTGTGACATTTCATGAGGATCAGTTCCCTTTTGCTACTTCTGCACCTTTGGTCTCTGCCTCTTCGGATGTTGACTGTCAAGTCCGTGATACCGCCATTGATCCGACTCCTTAATTTGTGGTCCACTATTCTCCAATCGCCAAATCCCCGACCGCACCCAACTCATCACCTGGACCACCTAATCCCGGTTCTCCTGCATTAGATGAGCCATCCGCATCACCGCCTTTTCCACTGTCGGCAGCACCATCTCTCCAGACCCGCCAGCTGCCATGACGTCTCTCCAATTACGACTACACGTTGCCACATTCCCTCCTTCCGAATAATCCATCCTCTACTCTTGCCGCTTCTTCAGATTCCTCACCGGTACATCCACTATCTCATACTCTGTGTTATTCTAGATTTTTAAAGTCGTATGTTGCCTTGTTAGCGGCCATCTCTTCTACAGATGAGCCCACTTCTTTTCGACAAGTTGTTCAATATAAACATTGGCGAGATGTTATGTATACTGAAATCAAGGCTTTAGAATTCAATAACACATGGAGTATTGTACCTTTCCCCACTAGAAAGTGAGCTATTGATTCTAAATGGGTCTATCGAGTGAAGTTTCACCCTAATGGCAGTGTTGACTGTTATAAAGCCCGTTTGGTGGCTAAAGGATTCACTCAAATTGAAGGAGTTGATTTTCATGAGACCTTTGCTCCCGTCGCTAAGCTCGTTACTGTTTGTTGCCTTTTAGCTCTTGCCTTCATCCGTCAATGGTAGCTCCATCAGCTCGATGTCATTAATGCCTTTTTACTTGGCGACTTACATGAAGATTTCTCAGGGTTTTGCTAAACAGGGGGAGACGCGTGTTTGTCGGCTTCAGATATCCCTCTATGGCCTTCTTCAAGCATCGCGAAATTGGTACCATACGCTGGCTCAAGCTCTTACTACTGCTGGTTTTCATGAGTCTTCATCTGACTCTTCACTATTTCTTTATTCGAAGGGGTCTTCTTTTATGACTGTTCTTATTTATGTTGATGATATCATTGTAAAAATGATGTTTCCAAGATTCTACACCTCAAGAAGTACATTCACCAACAATTTAGCATTAAAGATCTAGGCTCTTTGAAATATTTTATTGGTATTGAGGTAGGTCGCTCTTCTACGGGTATTGCTCTCAAACCAGAGAAAATATGCGCTTGATATTCTCCAAGAATGCGGTCTTCTTGGTTGTCGTCCGATCTCGACCCCCATGGAGCAGCATCATCATCTCTCTATCGACTCTGGGGAGTTATTTGATGATCTTGAACGTTATCGACGCATCGTTGGTCGTCTCCTCTATCTCACTGTCACACGTCCAGATATCAGCTATGCAGTCTATGTTTTTTCCCAATTTATGCATCAGCCACGTATTCCTCACTATGAGGCTGCTATTCGTGTTTTGCGTTACTTGAAGAATGCTTCTGGTCAGGGTCTCCTCTTCCCTTCTTCTAGTTCTCTTCAGTTGCGCACCTATTGTGATGCTGATTGGGCAGGTTGTCCGACCACTCGTCGTTCCACTACTGGCTTTATTGTTTTCTTGGGTAATTCTCTGATCTCTTGGCGTTCCAAGAAGCAATCTATTGTATCTCGCTCTTCTGCTGAAGTTGAGTATATGGCTATGGCATCTACAACCAGTGAATTGGTTTGGCTTGTCCGTCTTCACGATGAGTTGCATGTTTCCCAATCAATTCTAGTCCCTCTTTTCTGTGACAATCGTGCTGCCATCCACATTGCTTCGAATCCTATTTTTCGTGAGCGCACAAAGCCCATTGAGATTGATTGTCATTTTATTCGCCACCACATTCTTTCCAAGCTTTTGGTTCCACGTCCTGTTTCTTCCAATCGTCAGTTAGTGGATTGTTTCACCAAGGCTTTGGGTCGTGACTCCTTATCTGACATTCTCGACAAGTTGGGCATTTGTGATCTTCATGCTCCAACTTGAGGGGTAGTATTGAGAGATTATCTTGTGATATGCTTATACGATAATATGACAATTGTATTTTGTTGATATGATATAGATTAGATTGTATCAATTAGGTGATATGGTAAATCATGTCTTGATTTCTTTCATTTCTTTCATCTCTTTTGGCTTGTATGTATACTTGTAATCCTCATTGAGTTATAAAACAATTCAAGCTTAACAACACTCTCTCCACTTTTACACATTTGTTAATGGATTATTATTATTATTATTATTATTATTATTATTATTATTATTATTATTATTATTATTATTATTACCATATGTTAATGTATTGTTGTTATTTTTATTATTATTATTATAATTATTATTATTATTATTATTAGTAGTAGTAGTAGCAGCAGCAGCAACAGTAGGTAAGGCAAATATTATGTGCAAATGTTTCTCTATGTGATTTCTGTTTTTAATCTGGGGTGTGGTGATTTGGTATTTGTATATATTAATAAATAACCATGTAACTGATAGATTGGATTATTAAGCTAATGTTTACTTGTATTAAGTCAACCTTTTAAAATCAATGACTAATGTAAATATTTATGTGTAGAAAAGTAATTTTTGTATGATGACGTAAATGCGTGGAGATGGACGCGTGGGACAGTGGAGGGTGGAGAGGCAAGCGAATGCAGTGCATACGTGTGAGTATACTGTGTTATTCTCTTAATCTTTAAAAAAATGGAAAAAAACAAGGGTAAAGTCCATTTTGATCCTCCATGTTTAGGGGATATCCAGATTGAGTCCTTATTATATTTTGGTGCTCAATTTTAGTCCTTAAAACAAAAAAATGAATCCCTATTATGTTTTGGTGCCTAATTTTAGTCCTTAAAACAAAAAAATGTAGTCCCTATAATAGGGAAAAATCCACTTTTAGTCCTCCATGTTTAGGGGGTATCCAGACTTAATCCCTATTATGTCTTGATGCCCAATTTTAGTCCATAAAACAAAAAAATGTAGTCCATTTACTTCAATTTCTGTTAATTAACGGTCCATTTTTGCTCGACTGTGATATTCTTTATTTTTTTAAAATTTGTTGATTAATGTCAACTTTGACCAAAGAAAAATAAAAAAAAATTTAAATGCTGAATATATTAATCAAAAATTAAACTAAAACAAGAAATTGCACCAAATTAAATTAAAATTTTTGCTCGTCTGATTTCTATTTCCCTAGCATTCGCGCTGCGGAGCAAGCCTGGAATCACAGCTACTGCTCTTGCACCCATTTCCGGGTCATGCCATCGAAAAAAATTGCACCTATCAACCCTCTGTTTTTTAACCATTTCTTATCATATTCCAATTGAAGTTCACAGAAAGTACTTACAGGATATAGAGGGGAACTCAAGAATCTTCTCCCGGGATTATCATCCTTCCAGCATGTAGTCAACTTCGCAACCAGCTCACATCTACAAAATACCACACCATTTCCATCCATTTGATCGGATTTAGTCTCTAGGCGGTCAGGTTTTTTTTTCTACGTTTCACTGCAGTTCACCATTTCTACCTTTTATTTTACCTTTTTTCAGCATTTAAATTTTCTTTTATTTTTCTTTGATCAAAGTTGACATTAGTCAACAAATTTTAAAAAAATAAAGAACATAACGGTCGAGCAAAAATGGACTGTTAATTCACATAAATTGAGGTACAGGGACTACATTTTTTTATTTTAAGGACTAAAATTGGGCATCAAAACATAATAGGGATTAAGTCTGGATACCCCTAAACATGGAGGACTAAAAGTGGATTTTTCCCTATTATAGGAACTACATTTTTTTGTTTTAAGGACTAAAATTGGGCACCAAAACATAATAGGGACTCAGTCTGGATACCCCATAAACATGGAGGACCAAAAGTGGACTTTCCCCAAAAAACAAAGAGATAAAAAGTGGAAGATATTTTGCAATTGAATAATAGACGTCACTAGAGATGTTAAATAGTGTTTGTCCAACCGGTCAACCCCGTTTAGCTCGAATAAAAATAGGATTATAGTCCTTTATTAATAGTCTATTTTTAGGCCTAGATCGTCTAGTCCGAAGACAGTTGAGGCTAGCCCAAAACTCCTAGGGCCGGAGTCGTCCCTGAAGTAGGACGGGTCGAGCGACCACTGCCTAGGGCCCCCACTTATCCCAGGACTATGTTTTTAATTGCTGATATATATGACTGATATAAAAAAAATAGTTTTAAAGCTATTTTTTCTTAATTATTTAGTAAATTTATTTCATTATTTTTTTCATTTGACAAATTTCATGAAAAAGTAATTATTAATTACTAGTATTAAAATTAATACGTTTTTCATGTTTTTTCCATTTGTTTTTTAAAGTTCCTCTTTTTGCAATCAATCTATTTTAATACGAGTTTCAATTTATCGTTATTTAGCTTTCTTATATATCAAAATTAAATTTTTTTTTACTTTCTCGATTAAAAATAATTTAATTTTAACTGAATATTATATACTTCAATGAATTTAAGACATATATCTATATATATAAAGAGCCATCCTATTTACTAAATTTAGTAACAAGAAAAGTCAAAGGACAATTAATGCATTCTATTTTTATCATTTTTTCAAATTTATTATTATTTTATTGCCAGAAATTCGGTCACCATAAAATCTTTACATGAATCGGTCAGCCAAAAATCAATTTTTCAACCCTATATTTATGGGTTTTTTTGTGGATTTATTTTATTATCTTCTCTTTGCTTCTCCACATTTTTCTCTTCTTTTTCCTTAATTTTCCATCTTCTTAAATTCGCAACACAAAACAATCTCTTTTCTTCCTCTCAAATTCTCCTCCTCCCCAATTTCTTATTCCTTTCTAACCTTATAGACTTTGTACAGAAATCAACATAAGGAAATAAAAAAGCATGATAAAATATTTGAATTCCTTTACCTGTAGAATTTTTCTGTCTTCACCCGAAGCTGCATACGTTTATGTGTAGCAATAGGTTTACTTATTAGGTTGGATGTTTTTTAAATGAGTTATTTTCATAACTTCTTAATTAATTTAAAATAAACATAAATTCTAAAGGATACATTAATTATAATTTTTTTGAGTTTATAAAATAAATTGATAATTATTATTATTCTAAAAATATATTATATGAATAGGTTCAATTATTTGAGTCAATTTATTTTTTAAATACTTTAATATTATTTGTTTAGTTATGATATAATTTTTATAAATAATAATAGAACTTTCAATTGATCCCTTTTTGTTGGTATTTTTCCTTATGTTATACAATCTTCTTTATGTATTTTGATTAATTGGAACTGGTTATTCCTCACTTTTAAAATATTTATAATTATTTATTTGACTAAATACTAATTTCATAAATATTTATAATTAAACATGATTAATGATAAATAATAATAATACAGTATAAAATATGATTTGAAGCCTTTCTTTTATTTAATATAGCGATAGACGAATAATAGATTATAAACCTATTGTTTTCTAGAGTTAACGCTCATTAAAAGAGAGGTGGAAAATAGATGATAATCTTATTACTTTTTAGACTTAAACGGACCGAATCTGTGAAAATAACTCATTTAATATTTTTGTCTCGTGCATCGCACGGGGTATGTACTAGTTTAAGTAAAGGAAAAGCTTAGAAATTTAATGTTTATTTTTTATTTTAAGAAAGAAAATATTTCTTCCATTCTTTTCATTTGTTTATTTTTAAAATATAAAATTTATTTATAATTATATTTTAAATTTCACTGCTTTTATTATAGCTAGTATACTTTTTTTTTCTGGAACTTATTTTTTTTAAAAAAAAAACAGGGAACATTTAACACATTTCGCCGAAAGGTCTTATAAACTTCAGCATCCGCTCTGCTACATAATACACACTTTTCTACAAAACTCATTGTTTACCCCTCATATAATTCGATCTACCAATCATTTTCATATTTATTTTTCTACTTCTACACTTTAGCTTTAACCANAAAATATGTTATTTAAGAGTTTGTAATGTGTGTCTATATATGAAGTGTAGTTGTATATATATAGTAGTAAATACTAAATAGTCATTGAAAAAAAACCGTATAACTAGCCGTTGTAATATTTTATATATATATTTTTATTTTTATATGATATATTATTGTTGTTGTTGTTGTTGTTGTTGCTGCTGATAAACAAATTTAATCAACTAGTTAAAATTGTTTTGAACCAAATTCAAGGATGGTTGGTTAAGACAGAAGTTAGTGTTTGTCGTGGAAAAGTTCGAATATGATAGATTGAAAAATTCACGACGCACGACTGGTGTGGTTGATTGACACGAGTCGTGTTGGTAAGGTATATTAAGACTTTTACTACGACATTTTGACACGACTCATGTGGATTTGTGATACAAGTCGTGTGACGTTCACACGACTCGTGTCGTTCACTCACATGAGTCGTGTGGTTGATTGACACGAGTCTTGTTGGCAAGGTACATTAAGACTTTTGCTACATTTTGACACGACTCGTGTGGATTTGTGATACGAGTCGTGTGACGTCACACGGCTCGTGTGGTTCACTCACACGAGTCGTGTGACTTCACACGACTCGTGTGGTTGATTGACACGAGTCGTGTTGGTAAAGTACATTAAGACTTTTGCTAAGGCATTTTGCCACGACTCGTGTAGATTTGTGACACGAGTCATGTGATGTCACACGAGAAGTCACACGACTCGTGTGGTTGAGTGACACGAACTACCAGCTTGGTCAGCCTGACCACTATGTACGGGAGGAGCGGGAGGTCACGAACTACCAGCCTGGTCAGCTTGACCAGTCTGTCTCGCAATAACCTGACGCATCATCTCCTCTCCCTCTCTCCCGACAAACGGAAGCATCTATAAACCGACTCCTCGTGTGTCGGGGTCCAGAACCATAATACTCGGCAATCTCTTCAAATAAATATTTTTCTATTGTAAAGAAAATGGTGTAATAAGCGCATTAAATATTTTGATTGGTGCATAGTTTAGTTATATAGCTCCATAAGTCAACTATTTATTTAATTGTACCGCTCTATATGTCATATATTTAAACAGTTGTTGTATTGCCAAGTTTTAAAATACAATTTTTTTTACCATAAATATTTTTTGATCAACTTATATCTCAATTTTGTATTGAAGAATTAGCGGTTATCACTATTTTAAATCTTAATTAATTTACTTTTTCTCATTATTTTATTTTCCTAAAGAGAAAGGAGAAAACTACATTGTTACATGATGATGGTTGCATATGTAAACTGTTGCATTTTTAAATAGATTTATTGTTACATAAATATTTCCAAAAAAACAGGACACGTGAATTATTTCAAAAAAGTGGACAATATTTTGGCTTATGATTTTCAAAATTAAAATGCACAATAACAACCAAGAT